TCTTTAAACTTATGTTATTAGTTTAGTCTATTGTTAACTGAAGAGCAGAAACCTATTGTTAACTAGATAAGATAATCTATTTAAATATACTTAATTATTTATAATAATTAAACTAAGTTACAAGATCCAAACAGCTCTTAAATTTCAGTCAGATTGTACAATAATTTATCATCGAGAAGCGAAGGATTAAAATCTGTTTCCTGACTAACTAAGAAAGAATTACTCCTCACTACTCAGAACTGCAGTACAGGATAGTTTTTTTTTAAATTATGCACAAAGCTACACGAGGGCTATCTGTGCTCTGCCCACCACGGGTATCGAAACCCGGTTTCTAGCATTGTAAGTCCGCAGACATACCGCTGTGCCACTGGGGGGCGTGCAGGATAGATTACTAAAGTTAATACTGATTTTTTATTGGTACATGAAACATGACCCTCAGAAGATTTTCTTTAGTGAAAGGCTATAACGTTTATTGTTTGCTGTTCGACCTTACCTTTCCTGTGTGCATGATGTCACATTCTTCGGTAGTCGGAGGAATTAGATAAGCCGGAGTAGATTTCATGACAAATCCACTAGTTGCAACTCTGGTCTCATTCTTGGCTTCACTTTCTGGCTGATGATGATGAGAGGGAACATCCGCATCATTTGTATCGTTTCCCTGATGAGCTACAACATCTTCATAGGAAAGCACTTCGTTGGGATCTTCTTCTTCATCTGTAACTTGGCAACAACTACAACACGAGTCACACTCGCTAGATGTCTCTTCACTCAATAATTCTTCTTTGTCAGTCCTTATGATATTAGGGTAAGAATCTTCTTCTGTGAAGCTTTCACAATTACTGCTTGTCGTGGTACATTCTCCTGACGTTTCGCTGCTTATTGTGGTACATTCTCCTGACGTTTCGCTACTTGCTGTGGTGCATTCTCCTGACGTTTCAGTGGAGCCTGAAGAATAGGATCCTGCAAAGTCATCAGATGTTTGCCAAGATGTCCTCTCGTTTGGAGCAGAAAGTTGCTTCAGTATTTCATCACTCGAGACATTAAACTTGTGCAAGACTGTTTCTTTGATGTTTAAACACGGGCCTTCATGCTTAAGAACTTCCTTTTGCGTTTGAATACTGGGAATTGGTGAATTTTTTAACGCATCGTTAACATTTATAAGCCGATTCTTATCTAACTTGTCGTGTTCAGAAATCTTTACGTTTTGTCCACTTGTGTCATCTAAAACCCTAGTTCTCACACTTTCTTCAGAACCGACACCATTGCTTTCTTTATACGCTACTTTCTGACTTTCACCTACCGTTTCACTTTCTGCTTGTGAATTTCCGGTTTTCCTTAAAGGATCAGCTTTTATCTTTTTGTTCAAGAGTTTTTTACCTGCATAAGTTCGATATACATTGGATGACTTCGTCATACGTATCAGTTCTTCACCATAAAGTTCTCTTTCCTGCACATCACTGCTGCTTGTAGTTTCGTGATCGCTATCATCTGATGTCAAAGAAGCTGTCTGTGAACAAACGCTGTCTTCATTCAGTAAGTGTTCGGGATGGAAGATTAGTTTTGGTTTGCGAACGGAGGAATGGCTCGAGTAGCTGTTTCTACCCGTTACTGGTGACTCTAGGAGTGACGTCTCAGGATTCGGTGTGTTACCTGTGACGATAAAACACGTTAACTACACTGAAAATGACCACTCTTTTACCAGTGATGTTTGATGGATGGAAGTAGCTGATCAGTGATGATGTACCACTCACTGAAGTCTAAAGACAGAACTAAATTAAAGATGAGTTTATCAATGAAAACAGTAAAATATTTCTCTGAACTCTTATTGCTCAAAAAGCACAGGTTACAACGAAAGTGGTTTCGTTAAAGACCTCTTAATAAGAATATTCATTGATGTTACGAACATCTAGAGATGATGACTTTGAATTGGAACAAAATCCAGTGCAGGTTTGTACCTGGAGGAATATTTTAAAAACTGATAGATAAAGGTTTTACCCATTATAATTAAACATTATCAAGGCAGATTGATTCATCAGTAACACTGTTGTGATAATATAATAGGTGTTTAAGCAGTTACAAACAAACATGCTTTCCTGACTGTTGGATTGAAGTTGAAACAGAATGTCTGTCGACTCATTAACTAGTAATTGGAATACAAGTACTTGTGAGTAATTCACAGGACAGTGAGGAGCCACAAGTAATTCATGGGATAGTGAGGAGTCATAAATTATTCACATGATATTGTAAACCTATGATAACTAAAGGGCTAAAAGACCCAACGAGAATTCATAGTACTGGTGTGAGGAGTCCGTGAGTTACTCACAAAACAAATGAGGAACCCGTGGGTAACTCTCAAGGTAAGCGAGGGGCCATAAGTAACTCAAAGTGCTAGTGAAAAGCCTATGATAACTCACTGGGCTAGTGAGGAGTATATAAGTAACTCAAAATGCTCGTGAGTAATAAATATGAGTAATAGAAGGAGTAATAAACATCTCACAGTAACCCGTGTGTTCTCAGTAATGGAAGGAGGCATAAAAACTCATAGTAAACTGTGTGTTCTCAGTAATGGAAGGAGGCATAAAAACTCATAGTAAACTGTGTGTTCTCAGTAATGGAAGGAGTAATAAAAACTCACAGTAAACTGTGTGTTCTCAGTAATGGAAGGAGTAATAAAAACTCACAGTAACCCGTGTGTTCTCAGTAATGGAAGGAGTAATAAAAACTCACAGTAAACTGTGTGTTCTCAGTAATGGAAGGAGGCATAAGAACTCATAGTAAACTGTGTGTTCTCAGTAATGGAAGGAGTATAAGAACTCACAGTAAACTGTGTGTTCTCAGTAATGGAAGGAGGCATAAGAACTCACAGTAAACTGTGTGTTCTCAGTGATACAAAGAGTCATAAAACTCAGAGTAACCTGTGTCTCCTCAGTGATAGAAGGAGTCATAAACATCTCACAGTAACCCGTGCATTTTCTGTTTTTGTGTTTCACCACCACATCAAAAGTAAAAGCATTTAAGTTAGGTGTGGGAACAAATGTGAATTTGAAGACCCTCCCCTCTAGTTGGACGGTACTCATAACCATAATCCCATGACGTAGCAAGTTATTTTCATCTTGATTATAAAATTACATTAAAGAAAGCAAAAGAACAATGGCTACACTTAATTTGGCAGAATAAGTTAGTATGACTGTAGGTACTCATGGAAAGGTCTGTATTAACATTTAAATATGATGAAGAAGGTAAAATTTGTTAACACATTCAGTATACATGATGCTACATTTAAATATGATGAAGAAAGTAAAATTTGTTAACACATTCAGTATACACGATGTTACATTTAAATATGAACGTTATTGAAACTGTTGGCTTATATTAACTGTTGATGCTCACGATGAGTTAAAATAAGATTTTATTTACTGTTTCCTGTATAAAATCATCAAAGGGACACAAATTAGGTACCTGAACTAAGTTTCAAACTTTCATTTTCTGTTTGAGTACAACTGTCTTTCATTGGTCGAGAAATCGTCTGATTTGTCTGAAAACAAAAGAAAATAAACAACGTTCTTAAAATTATCAGTATTTTGGTAAAACGTTATAAATAAATGCAATGAAAGTTGATTAAATTTCTTTCAGTTGTGTTCCTGTAACCGTGTCTGTTTGTTTCTGAATGTGAACAGTAAAACTGTTTAAAAGTGCCCCTGTAACCGTGTCTGTGGATTCTGAATGTGAACAGTAAAACTGTTTAAAAGTGCCTTTCTTTCAGTTGTGTTCCTGTAACCGTGTCTGTGGATTTCTTTCAGTTGTGTTTTCTGAATGTGAACAGTAAAACTGTTTAAAAGTGCCTTTACTTTATTATTATAATTACTATCATAAGTTTTAAGTACGTGGTGCTACTGTATATTAAAAGTAAAAAAACAACAGCACCTTTTGTAAAACGAGCAACAAACATCTAGAAATGAGATACTTTAAATTAACTGCATTAAAATCAGCTGAAAATAAGTTCATTAGCACACCTTTTATTTCCCGTGATTTCGGAAAGAGTAGCTTAGCCATTCCGAATAAAGAGTTATAAAGTAGCTTTCATTTCTAAAACACCAAACGTTAACCAGTTAAGAAATCGGAAAAGGTTGAAGAAAAAGATGACATTTACCACGTCAGTTGTGGTTATGCTAAAATGTACTTAGGAGAAACAAGAAGTAAATTAAAAACGAGATTGAAGGAACACAAGTATAACATAAAATATGGTAACACTATTTTCTCCAATGTAGCTGAACATTTGTGGAACTGTGATGGTAAATATGACTGGGAAAATTGGTAAAAGAAATGCACAAACAAACATAGAAAATAAGTCAAGAGAAAGTAGTTCCTTAAGTAAAAACACGTGTGTATAAGTACAGTCTTGGCCAAAATGTTTGTATACTGTTCTAGAGAAAGTAGTTCTTTAAATAATAACGTGTGTATAAATACAGTCTTGACCAAAATGTTTGTATACTGTTCTAGAGAAAGTAGTTCCTTAAATATTAACGTGTGTATAAATACAGTCTTGGCCAAAATGTTTGTATACTGTTCTAGAGAAAGTAGTTCCTTAAATATTAACGTGTGTATAAATACAGTCTTGGCCAAAATGTTTGTATACTGTTCT